GTTGGCTGAGGGGTCTGAAGTGCTCCCCCTCTGAGACTCTCCCCCTTCCCCGACGTTACTGTACAAGCAGGCTCTGACCACTTGTCCCCAGGAACGTGCCGCTATTTTCTGGCTCGTGTGATTTAAAAGCCGGTCCCTACACTCTTTCTGCTTTCTCTTCCCTTCCCATCCCTTTTGCATTTATTCATTCAGCAAGTATTTACTGAGGGCTTGCTGTGTGCCAGGCCCCGTCCCGGGCCCTGGGGGTAGAGCTGTGGGAGTATGGCTCTGCTCTCGGTAGGAGTCAAGCATAGGAAGATCTCTGTTTTCTGCCAACAGCTTGTGTTTTTCACAGCCTTTGTTGGGGACATATATTGGTGGCTGTGCTCCTCTTTGGTGACCATACATGATGCTAAGAACCTCCACCTTTCCTAGACGAGGGCTCCTCCCTGTCCCTCAGGTGAATCTGCTGTTTCTGTCAGGCCTGGACCCACCCACCAGCTTTCCGTGTGCTCGGAGGTTCAAATCCACTACAGTCCACTTAGCTATCCCGCCACTGGGTCCAAAAGGGTCCAAGGAGAGACCTTGTGAAATGCCTTGAGGTCCACCTCTGGCTTTGTTATTCTCTTATAATTCCTTCTCTTCACTCCCGTGTTTTGTCCCCTCGTCCCTCTGACAGACCAGATGGACTGCGATGGGGTCACGTTCTTCCTGCTACTGTTAGCATCCCCCTCAGTCCCAAGCACTGGCCAGGGCTTTCCTCCTGCTACCCCAGCTCTCTGCCAACATCCTCCTCAGCTGGTCCCTCCTGCGAATCTGCCCTTGGTTGGGTGCCCTTCCCTCCATCCTCAGAGATGACCTGAAATCTGAGCTCCCTGTGGCCTCCCCAGGCTCTCCAGCTTCCTTAATGCCTCCGAAGGATCATTTGTGAGTCAGTAGCTGAGATGTCATTGCTGACAGTCTCCTACCCTTCCCGAGTCATTTTCGCTTTTAGTGTCTCTGTTCAGGGATCATGATGCTTCTTCTCGGAACTGTTTGAAATCTTCCCTCCCGAAGATGGGCGCACTTGCCGACAGCCTTACCTCCTCCACCACTGCGCTATTCTCCAAGGGCTTGCTGCTCCACGAGCAATTCTGCACCACTGGACAGAAATTGTGCCCCCATTGCATCACCACCACCCCGGAGATGAAATGGTCACAAAACAAGTGTGGAATTTACCCAGTGCTCCGCTTGCACCTGAATGCAATTTTCAGCAGGTGTCCCCGGAGAAGAATTTCTTCTCGTTCATCTTGTCCTTGGGCCAGTTTGAGCACCTCCCTGGGGCATACCCTCTTCTCTCCAACTGGCTAGGAAATATCCCATCTCCCCGGCCCACCCCTACCCCCAACCTCTCCACCAACACTTGCCCAAGGATGCTCCCTCCTCAGATTCATGAATCCCAGCTCAGGACTCGGTGGCCCACAGAGCTACTCTTCCTTCTTTTCTAATAGGGCAGTTTTCTTCAGCAAAGGAGGAACTCACCTTTTTGTTGACTCAAGTTTGGCTCCTGGGTCTAGCAGGGGCCTCGTCTCAGCCCCTCACCCAGACTGACACATGTGAAGTTTAGGACAGACATCTGGTGGGCTAATGGGGCTCTGTTTTGAGCTGAGAGAGATGAGGAAGCCCTTAGCCTAATCCTCGATTCTTTCTTATTGGGGACCCCTTTAGCCATCCAGGACACTTCTTACACTGGGAACCTGGCATCATATGGGCCCCAGCCACACTCAGTTGAAGCATTTCCCCTGCCCACACCCAAGGGGAGGAGTGGATGTGGGTGAAGGAGTGAGGAAAACCACAGGCAGGTCTGGTCAGTTACAGGCGGACAGCCTCATTCCCTAGACTCGCGGGACACGGCTGACCTCACTAAAGACAGTGCCCCCGGGGAGGGATCCCTGGTGCCACTTTAGTCCCAGCTGGCGCTCTGTCCTAGCCCCCAGCTCAGTGTCTGCGTCTTTCCTTGCCAGTTCCTCTCTTACTTCTCCCCTGTCCCCAGATGCCCTGGACAGGGACCCTTGTATCTGAGCCCAGATCCAGGTTTTAGTTGCAGGTGAGATCAGCATGGGCCTCTAACTCCCAGAATGGCGGTTCTCTACAGTGTCTGCCTCTTTTCGTTGACCAGGAAAGCTCAGAGCCAAGTCTGCAATGAACTAGAGTATATGTAGGCCTTCCCAGCACACATTTTTGTGAATGAATAGTACTCAGTCCTTACCACGTGCTGTGAACCGTGGGCACCAATCTCGCTCTTGCTTTTTCTTCTTTTTCTTTATCTTATTGAAGTAGAGGATTTACAATATTACATTAGTTTCAGGTGGATGGCATAGTGATTCAGTGTTTGTACAGATTATGCTCTGTTAGAGGTTTTTACAAGATAATGGCTATAATTCCCTGTGCTATATACAGTATATCCTTGTTACTTATCTTTTTATACATAGTAGTTTGTGTCTCTTAATCCCATGCCCCTATCTTGCCCCTCCTCCTTTCCCTTTTCCCTTTGGTAACCACTAGTTTGTTTTCTATACCTGTGAGACTGTTTCTGTTCTGCATATACAATTGCTTGCATTATTTTTTAGATTCCACATATAAGTGATATTATATAGTATTGGTCTTTGTCCGACTTATTTCACTAAGCATGATATTCTCCAGGTCCATCTACATTGCTGTAAATGGCAGAATTTCATTCTTTTTTATGGCTGAATAGTATTCCAGTGTGTGTGTGTGTGTGTGTGTGTGTGTGTGTGTGTGTACACCAAATTTTTTTTACCCAGTCATCTGTTGAATGCTTTGGTTGCTTCCATGTCTTGGTTATTGTAAGTAGTGCAGCTATGAACGTTGGGGCTTTTTCTTATTTGTCTATACTTATTTTTCCTATTCTTCATTTCTTCACACATAATATGTATTTGACTTGTTTTATGCTGTTGCATTGTGAATATGCCTTAAATTCTACTGGGATAAGTCAAGCTCATAAACAAATAAAAGCACAAAGAGATACAGATGATTCTTCCAGAAATCTCCCTTGCTCCCAGCACCGACTTTTCCTCCATCTGTTCTACCATCAGTCTTTTTCTGGTGGCCTCTGCTTATAGCTTCTATCTGCACAACCAGAATGTAGTCCAGTTGCTTTAAAAGGCCTGCACTTTCCTTCTTTCACTTCAGTCCTGAACAATTCACATTTTCAAGGCTCTGCTCACAGGCCCGTCACTTAGCTCGCCTGCCTACTGAATCATTAGCAAGTCAGAAACATCTCTTGCTCGGGTCAGAAGGAAGATGACTCTCTCAGATCTGCATACATCTGGGTTTGCTGTATGAATTCGAGGGCTCCATGTATCTTGTAAGAACAGGCCCTGGGCTGACCATGTCTCTCTCCACCCACCCTCATGCCCCTGCTCTGATTGCACATGCTGACCGTGAATGTGGAGTCTGCTGCCCCACGTGGAGCAGAGGGGGTATGGCTGCAGGGCGGTGGAGGGGAGTGGTGGGGAGGTGGGGAGACTGAGGCATAGGAATTGAGTCTGGAGAACACAGGGGCACAGCTCAGGGTGAGGGGTGGGGGGTGGAGGACAGAAAAGGTCTCCCTGGGACATGCACAACCCTCCCTCCCTCTGCCCTGCCTCACTTTTTGTGAAGCTACAGCTTCCAATTCTAGTGGTTTCAGGGTAGGGTGAGGTTCCAGGGGCTCAAGCATGCCCTCCTTGGCCTTGACATCACTAGCTTTGGGAAGAGGCTGTGTTTTAGCTCCTTAACCTTGTGGGCTAGTCTTTCTCACCACTCTGGTTCTCTCACCGCTGGACCATGTCTTTTCACAACTAGCATCCCATCACAGGGTTGGCCCCATTTTTCCCCATCAGGAGAAGCCCATCCCAGTCCCCTCTTTATTCTTTGCTTCCCAGGCTCCAGGAGCCCTGCCTCCATTCCAGTTGCTGCATGTCTGACTGCACTCTGCACATGCCCCCAGGGGTCTCATGGCAGAGACTTGGGTCACCATCTCCCTCGGGACACAGG